GGTAGCCTATGCCCCCGTGGCCTCCACGCCCAGCAACTGCCTTGGGATCCCCTCGCCTGCTGGCAGGGCCCCGGCATTGATCACATATCTTGGGGAACCCAGGTTTCTTCTCCAGGGAGGGCCCAGCTCACACCATTGGGCGAGAGACAGATCCATGGTACCAGCCACCATGAGGCTTTAACTTCAGTATGAACAGAGAGCTCAGGCAACAGCTATGGGCAATTGGATTGTAAGAAGAGGGTCGTCAAATACAGGACAAAGGAGAGTCCCAGGACAGGGCTTTCTCAGCCAAGGATGTCAGGCTCTTGGCACAAGACAACTTCATGTATGGGGCATATACCAGACACCCCCTAGTCACGATAGAAAAGGGAGGTGCCCTTCCTGGAACAGTAGGGTAGGGAGATTCTAGAAAAGGCTGTGTTCAGGAGAGAAGGAGAAAGGCCAAAGAACCAGCAAACAAGTAGTCAAAAAAAAAAAATGGAAAGGAGATGTGGGGCAAAGCTGGGACATATGAACAGACAAATGAAGGCACATGTGATCCTCCCAATGGACAGGTTGTTCCAGCTTAGGACTGCACATCTGCTGCAAACGGGCATTGGTCAGGTGTGCTAGGGTGAGGCAGAAATGGAGGGCGGTGAGACATAAGGTCGGACTAGATGGTCTGGAATCCACACAGGTGAGTCTGCATCCTGTGGAAATATACAAGCATACCCTCTCCCCCAGGTTAAAAGTACATTAGGTCCCTGCCAGGCTCCTGTAAGCAAGTCTCTCCATTTGACGAGGGCTTTAGGTTTAGTTAGATCAGGGTTCCAATGTCTGTACATCAGGGAATTTCCCTCAGAATCTACATTTAGTATATTAATTACAAATAGAGTATGTTGTAGAACATGATGAGGAGAGGAATATTTAAACTCATTTTCTTGTAATTTTTTAATTTGTGTTTTTAAAGTTTGGTGAGCCCTTTCTACTATTGCTTGGCCTTGAGGATTGTAAGGTATTCCTGTAGTATGTGCGATGCCGAATGTAGAGCATAAGTTTTTAAAAGCTCTAGAGGTATAGGCAGGCCCATTGTCTGTTTTAAGTGCCCTTGGTATTCCTAGGTAGGAAAAACATTGGAATAAATGTTGACTTACATCTTTAAAGGCTTCTCCTGTACGTGCAGAAGCAAGGATAACATGAGAAAAGGTATCAATACAAACATGCACATAGCAAAGTTTGCCAAAAGATGGGACATGAGTAATATCCATCTGCCATAAGTCACAGGGTCTAAGTCCTCTTGGATTAACTCCAGTAGCCAAAGCCTCCGGCCCCTCTGGCTTCCTGGGTAACAGCTGTCCCTATTTTATGTATTGGTAACAGGAGTAAATGTTTATGATATTTATTCTCCTTCCGATCAGTAGGCATAGCGAAATTGCTCTTAGATTGAGCTGGAGACAATAATGTGTCCTCTCTAGGTGGAGCCGAGGGACTATTTAAAGTTTGAGAAAGTTCAACCGTTTCTGCCTCTGGTGCCAAGAACTTTTAACCTGGGGGAGAGGATATGCTTGTATATTTCCACAGGATGCAGACTCACCTGTGTGGATTCTAGACCATCTAGTCCGACCTTATGTCTCATCGCCCTCCATCTCTGCCTCACCCTAGCACACCTGACCAGTGTTCGTTTGCAGCAGATGTGCAGCCCTGAGCTGGAACAACCTGTCCATTGGGAGGATCACATGTGCCTCCTTTTTGTCTGTTCATATGTCCCAGCTTTGCCCCACATCTCCTTTCCTTTTTTTTTCAGGAACTGGTATTTATTATCAAAGTCATATTTGATATCAACAAGATGCCACAACTACAAAAAAAAAATTGCACACATTGCAATCTCAATGCAAACAGTCAAATGGAACCCCAGTCATTAAAAAAGTAATTCAAATTACCCCAAAAAGCAACTGAATTTTTTAAACATCTTTATACATCCAGCCAACAAATTAAAATGGTTAACAAGAAAAAATACAAATTCAGAGGTCTGGTATCGATGTTTAAAAAAGGCAACTGCTTAAGCATTTCTATCGATTCGAACATCAATCTCTCGGCCACTCAGCTTCATCCCATTCATCATCCGGCAGGCTCTCTCAGCCACCTCTGGAGATTCAAACTTAACCACACCGCACCCCTTGGACTTCCCATTCTCCATCTTGATGTCCGCATACAGCACATGGCCACATTCGTTGAATTTGTCCTTTAGCATTTTCCATGTAAAATCAAATGGGAGATTTCTCACAAATATCTGGCAGGCCTTTCTGGCCACCCCAGGAGCATGGCCTCCAGCTCCACCGAAGGAACCTGCGAAGCTTCCTCCCAAGTTGCCACGCTCCATCTCGATGGCACGGTCAAAGCTGGCACTGCCACCGCCACCCATGGCTAGGCCCATGTGCTCAATGCCAGCGCCTAGGGCCGGGCCCATGGCGGGACCCATCCGCTCCAGGCCCATGTGCTCAAGACTGTTGGCGCCCATTCGCTCCAGGTTGTTGGTGCCCGTGCGCTCCAGGCCGGTGGCCATGCGATCCATCACAGGGCCTATACGCTCCAGGCCAGCCCCCATGCCTGCGGGCACCATACGACCCATGCTCAGGCCCATGCGCTCAATGGTCTGGCCCACACGATCAATGGGTGCGGCCATGCGCTCCAGGCCAAAGCCCACGCCGGCACCCATGCGCTCCACGCCAGATCCAATGCGCTCCATGGTCTGGCCCATGCGCTTGATGCTGGAGGCCATGTGGTCGAGGCCCAGTGTGCCCATGCGCTCGATGCCAGAGCCCATGCGCTCGACGGAGCCCATGCGGTCCATGACCAGGCCCATACGCTCAATTTCAGAGCCCACACGATCCATGCCATGGCCCAGGCCTGCGCCCATGCGCTCCATGCCAGCACCCCCAATGCGGTCAATGCCGGGGCCCATCCTCTCGATCCCAGGGACACTGCCTCCACCTCCACCTCCTCCCTGCTTTGCAATGATCTCGCCTCTCTTGGGTGCATTACTTAGGATTTCCATTCCTCTGCCAAGGGGCTCTCCAAAGCTTCGATACATTCCCATCTCGTTTCTGGCAAAGTCTCTTTCAAATCCTCCACCCATGACACGCTCCATCTCTTTTATCCTGCCCATGTTCATCCCAGATCCAAATCGACCCATGTTTTCCATACCACCACCAAAGGGACCCTCCATGCCTCCCATTTTATTTATTCCAAATCCTATGCCTTCCATTCCCATTCCTGCAGGTCCTATGTTTCCCATGCCAATGCCTTTATTTAGGTGATTGGCATTGATAGGCTGCCCTCCTGGTCCTAACCCCATGCCAATACCACCAACTCCATGGGGAAGTTGTTGTGGACGCTCAGGAGGGAAAAAATCTCCCTTTGGTAAGGCCCTCTCATCCATTTTCACGTGCATTGGTCTATCAAATAGCAGTTGTCCATTGAACATAGATATAGCTTGCACAGCTTCAATGGACTGTTCAAAAGTAACAGTGCCTATTCCACGACTTTTTCCATCTTTATCCTCAAGAATGTATGCCCGGACCACCACACCAGCCATACTAAAAACTTCCTTCAGCTTCTTCCAGCCAACTTTATAATCCAGATTTGCTACAAATACTGTGCTTCCAAGTCTTCCAGCCTTTTGCATTGCTCTCCTGGCATGTTCACCATCAGGATCTTCTTTGACTTTCAGTGGTCTTCCACTCAGACTATGCTTGTTTAGAACTTCAGCAGCTTTTTTCATGCTCTCTTCCATCTTGAATTCAACAACGGCACATCCCCTTGACTTTCCTTCAGCGTCCATTAAGAGCTCCACGTATGTTACCTCACCAACTTTTTCTTTAACCAGGTCTTTAAGTGACTGCCATTTCACATCAAAAGGTATGTTTGTAATGAAGGCTCTGTATCTTTTGGTTGGATTGGCATATGGCTCAAAGCGATTGCCCCCTCTTTTTATGTTTTTCTCTTTTCCCTTCTCATTCTGAGTAGGTCGTTCTCCTTCACCTTTTGGACCCGGAACACCGTTGCCGCTTGGTGCGCTGGGCGCGCTGCTCTCCCCCTCCATTTTGGGCTCCGTCGCCGCCACCTCGGCCGCCGCCTCGACCCCTGCCGCCATTTTCTCCGCGTCTGGGCTTTTGTGTGAGGGAACAGGCTGTACAACGCAAGCATATGTGTTAAAAGATTAATACAGAGTCTTTTTTCTTTAGACTCAGTATGAACCATCTTCTCAATCTAAGTTCTGTACTATCCACCCTCTCACCCTACTTATCCTCTATAGGGGGGTCTGCAGCACCCTAGGGTGCAGTTCTATCCGTCCCGAGTGCGGGGGGGCTTACCTAGGGGAACCCTGTTCAGGCGCCAGTTGTTGGGGTCCAACCCCAGCAGGTCCAGGGGTTCCCAAAGGTGTGGACAGAGACAGCGTTCAGTTGATCAGCAGCCTAGCCAGGTTCTCTAGCCAGGTTCTAGCCAGGATCTCTAGCCAGGTTCTGTCTTTTATTGTCTTGTTACATCTGTATTTATACCAGTTGATTTTAATCCTATCAATTTCTATTCCAAAGGTTAGGGCGTTTCTTATCTCCATTCCAGGGAGTAAAGACTATGTGATTAACTACCTGCCTGGCACTTAGTTAAGGGGTTTTATTCCCTCCCTAACTTCAGGGAAAAATCCCTACCTTGGGAAACAACCTTTCTCGGAGAGGTGACCTTGGTTAAAACACATAGCGCCAAGAAGGGGAGCAAACATATTAAGAACAGTATGCCATATACGCCAGGTCCCTTGAAACATATGCTGTGCAGATGTTTCTTCCCTGCAGCAACTGTGTCAAGCAGCAAGGATGGACTGGCTTCCAGCATTTAAGAAATCTCTTTCTTAACCCAAAGTCCTGAGGATATTCTCCTATGTTATTTTCTAGTACTTTTATGCTTCCACTTTTTGTATTTAGATCTGCAAGGTACTTGGAAGTGATTTTTGTGTATGGTATGAGTTTGCTGAGGGGTGGATGGAGTTTCATTTTTCCCATATAGATAGCTGACACAGCCTCATGTAGTAAAAGTATGAGTTTTACCCACTACACTCCAATGCCAGTGAAATGGTTCTCACAACCAAGAAAAATGAACGCATACGTGCATCTGAAGACTTGTTTACTAATATTCATAACAGTGATGTTTGGAATGGGCAGAACTGAAACAACCCAAATGTTTATTAACCGATCAGTGGTTAAACAAACTGTGATATAGCTATACAATGAGATACTGCTCTGCAATAGAACGCAATAAACTTCTGCAAACCACAGCAATAGAGCTAAAACTAAAATATAATTATATTGAGCGAAGGAAGCCAGACAAAAATATTACAATATGATTTAATTTTTACAAAATTCTAGGAAAATACAAACTAATCTATAAGGATAAAAAACAGATCAGCAGTTTTCTGAGGAATTGGGGAATTAGGGGCAGGAGGATGAGATTAGTAGGAGATACAGGAAATCTTTTGGGGATGATAGATATGATATATTTATTGTATTGATTGTGGTGATAATTTCACAGATGTATAACATGTCAAATCTCATGGAATTAAACATTTTAATTATGTATTGTTTTTGTATATACAAAGCTGTTAAAAGCAAGCTAGAAAGAAAAAATTTTTCCATTGTGATTTTTTTCTTTGCTTCGTGGATTATCCAGAGCATTGATTAACTTTCACACATTTGTGGATTTGTAAAGTTATTTTCTTGTTCATTTTGTTGTTTTTCTAGTTGCCATTAATTTGCAGCTTCATTTTGTAGATGTAGTATATGCTTTTAATATTTTAACACTTGAAAATTTTTTGACACTTGCTTTATGGACCAGAATGTGGCCAATTTTGGTAAATGTTCCATGTGTACTTGAAAAGAATAAGTATTTGTGGTTGTTGATTATAGTTTTCTATAAAAGTCAATTGGACCAATTTTATAAAGTCTGTAATCCAAATAATCTAATTATTGTCTGATCTTTTGTCTGCTTGTTCTCTCAGTTATATAGACAGATATTTTTATCTCCAGTATCAAGTGAATTTGTCTATTTCTGCTTTTAGTTCTGTTAGTTCTTACTACATTTGCAAATATGAAGCAATGGTATTAGGTGCTTATTTATTTAGAATTGCCATATTTTCCTGGTGCATTTTCCCTTTTATCATTACAAGAATTCCTTCCCATTTCTAGTAATGTTATTTTACCTTTGAGTTGGTTCTGTCTGTTATCAGTAAGGCGAAGCCAATTTGTTTTAATTAGCCTTTATATGGTTTTGTATGGTGCATCCTTTTCTGTCCTTGTACTTTCCAGGCTTTCTGGGTCTTTATAGTTAAGATGTGTCTCATGTAAGCAGCATATAATTAAGGTGTTTTACATCAATCTGAAAATATTTGTTTTTGTTTTAATCCTCACCTGAGGATATTTTTCCATTGATTTTCTTAGAGAGTGGAAGAGAGAGGGAAAGGCAGAAACATTGATGTGAGAGATTCACATTGATTGGTTGCCTCCTGCACATGCCCAGACCATGGCCCGGGCCATGGAGGAGCCTGCAACCAACGTATGTGCCCTTGACTGGAATGGAACCTGGGACCCTTTGGTCCACAGGCCAACACTCTATCTATTGAGCCAAACTGGCTAGGGCAAATATTTGTCTTTTATTTGGAATATATAGCTGTTTATAATTGATGAAATTACTGATACATTTTAATTTAAATCTACCATCTCACTATTTGTTTTTGCTTTGTCCCACTCATTTTCTCCTTTGTTCTCCTTTCTTGTTTTCTTTTGTATTACTTTTTTCTTTTGTGTTATTTTTTATGTTCACTTTCTCCACTATTATCTCTTTCTTACTATTTTTAAATAGTTATCCTAGAAATTGAAATATGCATATTTGACATTTAAATTTAATATAATTTAGTGTATTTGTAACTTCCTGGACAATTCAGTAACTTTAGTTGTCTTAATATCATTTATCCCCTCCTGCCTTTTTAAAATATTGGTAATATACAGGGTTGGGCAAAAGTGGGTATAGTTGTTCATATGAAAACAATACAATAATTAATAAATAATAATACAAAAATAAACTTTCACATAGTCATTACTGTAAACCTAGTTTTGCCCACCTCATCTTTGATTCTTGGTAATGTTAATTCTGGACATATATAAGTCCTATAGGTATGTTTTTTTCTATAGTTTTTTTAAAAATATATATTTTATTTTTTACAGAGAGGAAGGGAGAGAGACAGAGTTAGAAACATTGATGAGAGAGAAACATCGATCAGCTGCCTCCTGCACACCTCCTACTGGGGATGTGCCCGCAACCAAGGCACATGCCCTTGACCGGAATAGAACTTGAGACCTTTCAGTCCGCAGGCGGATGCTCTATCCACTGAGCCAAACCAGTTAAAGCTCTATAGGTTTTTTTGTTATCATTTTATATAGATACTATTTAGATTTATCTATATACTACTTTCCAATCTTAATTTCTTCCTTTATCTTCTTGCTTCAAAATGTGATTGTTTTCCTTCTGCTAATGCATTTTATTTATTTATTTTAAATACTAGAGGCCCGGTGCACAAAAAT